ACTACTACTGTGACGACGACGATGACGACCATGGCGGCGACGACGACGAATAAGAATTCGGGGACGACGATGCCGCCGGCGGCGGCGACGACGACGACGATCGTTACTATCACAACCGCCGATATCACAACCGTCATCATCACCAACAACAACGACAGCATCGTCATCACCAGCAGCAATCTACTCATTAAGACCTGCGTCATCGCCACCAATGTTGGTGTCCTTCAGGGCTTAACCTTATTGATATAGGGGCCTTAATACTTAGANNGAATAGGGTTTTGGGGCCCATCATACGATAATTCTAGAAAGTAACCCCCACAATAGTAGTGGTAATTATTTAGGCCCCAACATTATTCGCTGTGTCGGTGTTCATGGTTAGCCCAAGTTGCATTCTTGAGCCTCCACTGCTGAAGCAGCTTTGCGAGCTTCTGCTGCATCCTCTCTGCGGCGTCGATCTGAGGGGCGATCTCATTGAGAGTACCCTGTAAACTGCAAACTTCGGAGGAAGTTCAATGTGCTTTTTTGAAGCCTCTTAGACTCCATAAACTGCAAACTTTGGAGGAAGTTCAATGTATTATTTTGAAGCCTCTTAGACTGACCCTGACAAGTACACTTGTCGTTGGTCAGACCTTACGACGTGCAGAAATTGATGACAAAACCTGCCTGCGCGCGTCCGCCAGGCTGCATCTGCGAACGCATGCTGAAGCACCTCTGCAACCTCGGCCCGTCTGAGTGAAAGCGAAAACTAGGCTTCGTCGCAAAAGAGATCTCGTGGCAGCCCTGATGTGCTCGCTGGCGCTTTCTGACAGGCCCAAGCCAGAAGATGCCAAAGACAAACCTACACCCTAATCCTTAGACTGTCACTAAAGCCTTACCCAATTCTCTGCACATAAGCCTGGAGCACCCTTATAGTACCCCGATATCGAAGCCTCTTAGAAACGCTAATGGTAATCTTAGAGCCCCCCATTAGAAGCCAAGGGTCCAAGTCAACTGCGCCTCCACTCGCTTCCCGCTTTGGCCAGCTTTTTTAAAGACTGCCGAGTAGGTCGCACGGAGCTTCTGCCAGACTTCCTCTTAGGTACTTTGGGTTCTGTCTGTTTTACTCTATAGTGGTTTTACGCGGCTCTATAGGGATCTATAAATGTTTACACGGATTCTACAAGTTTGGAAGAGGCTTCCGTCAAGTTTTCATAGGGGTTTCGCAAGGGGTTGACTTCCTCTTCTGACCTCTTGTTTCAGGTTTAGGCTTTGGTAAGTTCACAAGTTTCGCGTAGTGCTCAACCCTAACATGTCCTGAAACCCGCAAGCCCCAAAAAAGCTTTCTAGATCGTCAAGCTTCTTGGAGACCCTCTGCGCTGTAGGTGTTTGCAATGGACGTGAAGCGGTTTCTGCGGCCGCAGAAGCTGTCGTGCTCAAGAGCATATGCAGAGTGTATCGAGCAATACAAAGACTGCCAAGCTTCGTAGCCTTTCTGCAAGCCTTCTTCCGAGACAACGAAGTGAGGTGTCCCGAGCCTCCTTCCCAGTAAGAAGTTGGCAGGCACGAAGGCCTGAAACCGATATGCTGAGTCTAAAGTCAGGTCCATCTCACGCGCTTCGAACTCAAGCGCGACTGCGTCATTGAAGCGCTTGAAGCTGATCTCGCGCACCTCGCGACTGGCAAAGTCCTGCTTTTGGCACATGTCCCGTTGCCAGCGACGCTGCACCGCCCCCAGAACTTCCAGTTGGCTGAGAGCTGTGGGAAGGTGAAGCGTCATTTTTGTGAAGAGCAGGAAAGGCCAGCAAGAGACACGGGCATCATAGCGGACAGGCCCTCCATTACTGCGATGACTGCAGACGTAGGGGGCGCCGGCTCCCGCCGCCACCACTGATGCCGGTCCTCGCCGCGGCCGCGCTTGGCCGAGTGCCTGGGGCACTCTGCAGCCGGGGAGCAATGGCTTCCTGGTAAGGACCCAGCGCTCCAGGTCCAAGCGCTGGGTCTCCGAGCAGCGCTGCAGCAGCTGCTTCCGGGTCCCGGGCTGCGCCCGCTGCAGCAAATGCCACACGCGGGCCTCGAAGCACCGGGAACGCCGGAGGCCAAACCCTGCGAGCTGCCTGGAACTGCGCTGGGTCTTCGGACCCTCTTTGGGGATGGCGAAGCTTCGCCGTCTCTTTCTGTCAAAGAGCCTCATCGCCGGATACCCTTCAATGATGATGGCTATGATGGCAATGATGGCAATGATGGCTATGGTGATGGTGATGATGATGGAAGTGGAAGTGGTGTCGCACGTCGGAGACGGAAAGTGCACGCATCTTCTCACTGAGGCACGCCGGATCGGTGAAGATGTAGGCCATAGCGGACCTCGGCTCGTCAGGGCTTAGGGTTTAGGGTTTAGGGTTTAGGGTTTAGGGTTTAGGGTTTAGGGTTTAGGGTTTAGGGTTTAGGGTTCAATGCACAACAGGGTTTGGCTATGTGCCCTTAAGGGATGGAAACTGAGGTCCCCCACATGTTTGATGCAGGGCTGAGCCCGGGGAACGCTGCGAGCGTCGTAGGGGGGTCTGTTAGGCTTGAGCAGGAAAGGGGCAGTGGCAGGAGCGCATTGCGCTACGTTGCGGTATTCCTGCCGACACGCATTTCTCCGTCACGGCTCCTTCGCTGCTGGCTCTCCACAAACAGCTTCACCTGTAACCATGCCGCTGCGCTGCCTGAACCTAAACCCTAAACCCTAAACCGATCTTCGTCCTGCGAGCTGCCACAGGCCTGCATCAGCGCCTCAAAAAACGGTGCGATGTTTCGAGGATGGCATCTGCCTAGACTCTGGGTTGTGGTAGCTTGCTACGCAGCGCCTCAAAAAACGGTGCGATGTTTCGAGGATGGCATCTGCCTAGACTCTGGGTTGTGGTAGCTTGCTACGGCTACCCCACTTCTTTACTACAGGGTCCTTACCCTGAAATAGATGAGCCAACGAAGGTAATTCAGAAATTGAGTTTGGGGTTTGGCTGGCCGGGGCTTAAGTGGCTTAAGGGTAACAGGCCTTGGGAGCTTGAAAGGAAACGTATCATGACTTGGAATTTTCTCAGAGAAACCCTCATAAGTCATGGTGGCTCTCTCATCGTAGCCGGATGGTAGCTACCCTAAACCCTAAACCCTAAACCTTAAATCCTAAACCCTAAACCCTAATCCCTAAACCCTAACCCTTAAACTCCACCGGCGTTCTCTCCAAGAAGCTTGGGCACACGAGCAGAACGAAACGTTTGATCTCAGCACAGACGTCATTCTGACAGGCCGTGAGTCATATGGGTAGTTCTCTAAATTAGGATCCCTTCCTAGATCCCCAATATAGTACGGCACCCTTATAAAAAGGACCCCCAAAAGGGACCCTGGTTTAGAAAACTACCCATATCCGCGATAGGATAGCCGCAAGACTAGCTACGACCCTAAACCCTAAACCCTAAACCGTAAACCCCTGAACCCTAAACCCTAAACCCTACTGTAAACCCTAAACCATCATCCTGCAGGCTCAAGCTCGAGGAACCGTTTAACATCCTAACTCCCGAAAACACGACGACGACGAGCACCAAGAGATGGTGTAAACAAAGTATAGGGGTTTCGGGTTTAGGGTTTAGGGTTTAGGGTTTACATTCTAGCCCAACCCACCCCCGCCCGGCCGAGAAAGAGTCCTGATTTTCAAGAAAGCCCCCATCGGACCTCAGAAACTTTGTACGATTATGAGCTCTAAACCCTCAACCCCAAAAGCCTAAACTCTAAACCCTCAACCCCAAAATCCTAAACCGAACTCTCAACCCCAAAATCCTAGACTCTAAACCCTCAACCCCAAACTCCTACACTCTAAACCCTCAACCCCAAAATCCTAAGCTCTAAACCCTCAACCCCAAAATCCTAAATCCGCACACCCTCCCGTTTCGTGGCGCCTTCAGCGCATCCGGAACTGCAGGCGCGGGCGCATACCCGCCAGCTGCTCCCTCCAAACTGTGGTGTCACGGTTTAGGGTTTAGGGTTTAAGGTTTAGGGGGCTGTGGTGTGAAGAGTCGTTTGTTTAAGAGGCGGCTTTAGGTTGTTGTCGGGGGACTGTGAGGGTACTATACGGGTACTAGAAGGTGGAAGGTTGAGGGTTCGCGAAAAGGGATATCGAGTTTCTTTAGGGTCTGGAGCGTAAGGGCCCACAGAGTCGGACTTTGCGACACGAATGCCTCCGGCTAGGTATGGTACTGGGCGGCAGTTTGGAAGCACGGTAGGGGCAAGCAGCGGAAGTTGGTACTGGCTGATTGGTAGAACGAGAATCCCAACTGGGCAAGAGTGCTCATACCGTACGAAGACCAAGCAACATCTGCGACCCTAGAAACGTGAGAAATCATGAGAGTAAACCCTTGAAAGCCGTGGAACCTTGCCGTCCCCTTCCTCGCAGAATCCGAGACCACAAAGCTAAGCCTAAAGCCCAAGAGTGATCCAAACCCAGCAGAGGGTTGGACGGCCGGAACAGCATCAGCACTGCGACTGGCTGCCTCCGAAGCAGCGACGGATGTTCTCGCTTCTTTTCTCTACTCCGGCGAAAACTCGGCCGGCGGACTTTGGCAGATCATGAAGAGGCGTCTTCAGCAGGACTATGCTGCATGGCTGCATTAGAGTATGCTACATGTCAGTTACACGAACAAGACACTACCTCAGAGGCCTACCACAGCAATTTAACTGTAGGCCTTCTCCTGTTGTCATGTCTTGAGCCAAACACGTTGGCGTTGGCAGTGAAACACGAACCTGCAACGCCCTCCGCTCACTAGCCGAGGCCCAGCTATGACTTACTACGCAACTACTAGGTGCAAAGGGTCGACATTTCTTAACTGTGTTGCTCCCACGTTCACTTTCATCGCCACCACCGAAACGATCGTGCTGTTGCGTCCGTGCCTTCGTCACGCCCCTCATCCTCCTCCTACCCACCTGCCACAACACTAGCATCATCATCGTCACCATAGCAACGGAAACGGTGCAGATACAGAAACTGGAAGGGTACTGCCCACAACTTTAGAAACGCAGATGCAGGAATGCAACAGCGATCCAAGCAGCGCATATAAGAAAGCTGAAACTATTGCGGAGCAACAACATGCAACAACGCAAAGATTGCCATGGACCCACCAGCCAACAAATTACGGAAGGCGTCGTATGAGCGGTAGCAAGTGGCAGCAGCAGTGGAAGCAGCCGCAGTAGCAGCAGCATTAGCAGGAGTAGCAATAGTAGCAGTAGTAGCAGCAGTAGCAGTAGAAACAGTCGTAGCAGACGTAGCAGTCGCAGCACTCGCACCACCGGTAGCTGTAGTAGCCTGCAGTAGCAGCAGCAGTAGTAACAGCAGCAGTAGCCGTAGAGTTCGCGGTAGCAGTAGCAGTAGCAATAGCAGTGGCAGTAGCAGTGAAAGTGGCAGTCGCAGTCGCAGTAGCAGTACCAGTAGTCGTAGCTCTAGCTGTAGTAGTAGTAGTAGTAGTAGTAGTAGTAGTAGTAGTTAGTAGTTAGTAGTAGTAGTAGTAGTAGTAGTAGTAGTAGTAGTAGTAGTAGTAGTAACTTACTTATTCTGGCTTTCAT